TCCATGTGTTATCCTATGCTGCCATCTAGTGGCCTTTTGTTGTAATATACATGTCTTTCTGTAATTATTCCTCATGTGACGATGTATTTTCCCCTAGTGTACGCCCCTTCCTTCTTCCTGTGTGCAGTACTTCCTGTGTCATGGCCACAGTGAACAGCCACATGTAACAAGGACACATATGTAATCTGCACAGTACGTAGGAAAGGCATCATCTTTTGACCGCACAATACCATAACTGTTCATCTGCTGTTCCTATCATCTGCTGTAACCTGATGTTAAAGAATAAACACCTCTTTTGAATGAATCGGTATTGACGAGTTCAGCTATCTGACGAGGATTGTCCGCAGTGAGTATATCTGCTTATACAGGCCAGGCATAGAGGTCTCGGCAAGGGATATATTTCGCTATCACAACGATCGGAGTCAGAATAATGATAAACTGCAGCACTGACCACAGGAGTCTCCAAAACACAGAATATGCCTGAAGGTGAGTGCCATAGAAGAAAGCAGTATGCTCTGGCATATTTGAAGATGAGATATCCCTGGCCATCATTCTGGGTGAGACATCTGCCCACCATATTGCAATGTCTGGACCCCTTAACCCATCAACATCAATCTAACATCAACATCAATCTAACTTAAACTTTATCAGTTTAGAGCAGTAAGACCAACGTTGGATGATTACTGGCTGGTAGCTGCAGTGTACTTTGCTCAAAGGGAAACCATAGTGAATACACCCTGGCTCGCTGAAAGAAGTTCCATGAATGAGATCCTACAGGCACCCGTTAATGCTTCGCACGTCTTTGTATGGGGATGAAAGCTGGATCCGTTTCTGGAGGAAGTTCTCATTAGCAGGAAGTTTTGTACTGGAATAATTGCTGTTTTTCTGAGACTTGCTTGACATAGGTTTCCTTCATTAAAATACTTTGTGTTACAGTCTGGTTTCCAAGCTACACCGCAGGCACAGCTGGCCATAAGCCTTGTCAACGTTACATTGAAAGATATCAATGTGGACCTATACCTTGAGGAGAAAACTTGCTTTAGTTATAATCATCAGGGGGGATAAGTATCTCCTGTAATTCTTCTATTTCTGATCACTTTTGATGCTGGTCATGTGACCAATTCTTATGGAAAAACACTTACCCCATAGTTCTCTTTTAAGGTTACTTAAATTAGTGCTTTGTAGCTGTTAGATATTTCTAATTGGCGCAACATTCTTAATATTTGTTTAGAGTATAACTTTATTTATTACAGGTATTTAAAAAGCGCCGACAATTTACGCAGCACTTTACATAATTGCACATTTACATCATTCCCTACCCTCAAGGCGCTTACAATCTAAGGTCTCTGTCCCCCATGCATGCATAGGAGGGCCAACTTAGAGAGGAGCCAATTAACCTACCAGCATGTCTTTGGAGTGCGGGAGAGTACCTGGAGGCACACGCATGCACAGGGAGAACATGCAAACTCCTTGCAGATAGTGACCTGGCTGGGATTCGAACCAGGGTCCCCCAGTGTTGCAAGGCAGAAGTGCTAAGCACTACGCCACTGTGCTGCCCCTTTGTTACTTTTGCTCCTACATGAAAACGAGCACTTAACCTTGGCTGTGCGGAGGTAGCCCCGCAGCAAGGGTTAAGATAATTTTCCCCTGGAGTTCTTCTTTAAAAATATAACATAATTTTAAAAAATATAAAGGAAGAGAAATTACCCAAATTATTATAGTGGCATTAAATTTCAGCTCAGAACGCTTCTAAGAAGACAGGAGTAACACATCCTGTGACGCACCACATGAGAAGCATTGGGAACAAACTGCAAATGTTCCTTTAAACGTGCATAAGTCTTGCCTAAACAATGTCTAAAAAGTCATGACTTTTTGGTCAGCTTTCCCTTTGTGTACCGACCTGAAATAAGTGTATGCTGCGCAATTACTTTTACCTCGTTCTGTACAGCGTTTTGAATCCTTGGAGAGAAAAGCGCTCTACAATTATTACCTCTCCGAGCAAACCTTCACGACTCCGCTTCCTCCCTCGTCTACATTAATGGTTCTTTTTAGTTCTGATTATCTTGCATTGTGTCCAATATACAGTTTATAAAGGAATACTTATCAGCTCTTATGGTGCTGTGTTGACAAGATGCACGTCACAGCCCCCTCCCCCCCCCCAGGGGACCGGCAGCGATTAAACAGTCAAGATGGCCTCCCCCACATGCCGCCTGTCGTGTGCTTCGCCAGTATGAAGCGCAGGAGAAATCCTGGATGTTCCACTCTCCTGGCTGTTGTTGGAGAGTAAATGGTGCGTGAGACGTAAAGAGCCAACACAACCTAATTCTCAGAGGTCAGGAAGCTCACAAATTGAAGGATGAGACACGTTATGAGTATCAGCAGAAAATAAATCATTTCAGCATGAAGGTGTCATAAACAAACAAATCCTCAGCCAGGAGTCATGTAGAAATATAGCTAAAATGGCAAAATATAAATCTGGAATAAACCTCAATGCAAGTAAAGGGTTCTATTTGCTTTCTATTTTTTTAGCATTTATTTTTTAGTTGTATATTAAACGAAAGGAAGCTCTTGCCTATATGTGTTACCACCATGAGAGTGTTGCTCTCCATAAATGGCT